GCCCTTCCCCAGCCCTGCAGGGCAGCAGCTACTCCCCGGCATTAAAAACTTTGCTAAAAGTTTTCATGTCGCGGAGAAAACTGGGCTGCTCTCTGTATTATTATTATTATTATACATATATATTATATATATATAATCTGCGGGCCTGTTTTCGCTCTGCAGGCTAATTAAACAATCCCTGATTGCAATAGAACTGGCACAGCAGCCAAAGCCCGGCCGCAGTTGTGTTCCCATCTCCGGCCCCAGCTGTTAAATATTAACCAGGCACGGAATGGAGGGTTTGGAACTTCATACAAAAGGTTTTAATTAGGGGTTGGCCCCCAAACCTGCCCTCCAGATCCAAGGAGCCTCCTGCCCTCCTCCTCCTCAGCCTGCTCCGAGGCTGGGCCTGGGGGCTCCGCAGTTCCCCCAGCAGCAGAGCCCACCTTGGTCCGGCTGGCAGAGCTGCTGGGGCTCAGCTTGGCCGGAATTTTGTCATTGTCACAGAGTCACAGACTGGTTTGGGTTGGAGAGGATCTTTAAGCTCATCCTGTTCCATCCCCTGCCAGTGCAGGGACACTTTCCGCTGTCCCAGGCTGCTCCCAGCCCTGTCCAGCCCGGCCTTGGGCCCTGCCAGGGATCCAGGGGCAGCCCCAGCTGCTCTGGGAATCTGTGCCAGGGCCTCTCACCCTCACAGGGAAGGATTTCTTCCTAATAATCAACACAACTCTGCTCTTTGTCGGTGTGCAGCCACTGCCCCTCGTCCTGTCACTCCAGGCAGGGCAGGTGGCAAAGCCTTTGGTGAAAGAAAAGTCAGCTTCCACCTTTGCTGTGTCTGAACATCACCAGGGCACCTCCTGGGACATGCACCAGCCCCTGTCCCCAGGCCGTGGGGCACACCCTGCCCTGTGCCCACATCTGGGGGACACCACGCTCCAGAGCTGCCCGTTCCAGCCAGCAAAGGCACCCCGAGGCCCAGAGCTGGAGCCCCGATGGGCCCTGTTCCCCCACCACGGCCTGTCCCAGTGCCTCACCCCCATCCCTCCTGCTCTGCAAAGGAAATCCCAGGGGAATGCTGGGGGACAACCCTGGCACCGCAGGGATGCTCCAGGGCTGGTCCCAGGGACTTCACCTGGTCCTAAATGTGAGCTCAGAAACCAGGGCCGTGACCACAGCGCTGTCCCCCTCCCTTCCCACCCTTCTCCGTATGGAGGAGCTGCTGGTTTGCAGCACCCCTAAACCCACAGAGCTCCCACTGCTCCTGCTGCAGGCCCTGCTCAACCCCCTCTGCAGCACCGCAAACAGCAAACACCCCAGGAGGCCGAGTGTCCTGCCAGCCCTGGACATGCTGTCCTTTGAAGCACAACTCTGTCCCCCATCCATCCCATGCTGAATCCATCCGGGAGCCTCACACAGCGCCACGGAACTGACCCTGCCCAGACTGGGCAACCTGGGCTAATAATGAAATAACACCAGGGTGGATTTGTTGTTGCTGCCCAATTACACATTTTCCAGGCCTGGGAATGGCCACCACTGGACATGGAAAGCAAATGTCCTGTCAAGCCCACGAGCTGAACAGTAAAAGCCATTTCAAGGTGCAACAAGCAGTTATGAATTATTAAGATTAGTAATATTTTTGCTGCTCATAATGCCAAACATCAGCGTGCCATGATGCCAGATGCTACTGAGCCATATAACATGGTCCTTTCCTGGGAGAATGAACAGTCTGTGTCCCCCTGGGCTCCTTGGGATGGTGACAGTGGTGTCACCTCCAGCCCAGGACCTCCAACCATCAGAAGGTGACTTGACCACCTTTTTCTCCTTACAACTTGCTTTGAAACAATATTGGATAAAAACCTCTCCGAGTCCCATTTACTGCTACAGCCCAGAAAATTAAGCCATTATAATGGAGGCTGAAAACCTCGGACTCATTCCCTTTGGAAGAAAAATCTCATTAAGTCTCATTCATCCTATTTCATAAAAATGTCATTTAACCAACTGGTTCTCTCCAAATCCCCTTGTGCAATAACGCTGCCCTGGGAGAACAACCCAGAAACTCAGGCAGGGACTTCATTTACCAAATTACCCAGGACTGCACGTGCAGAGGAGCAGCCCACCCAAACACCTGCCTGACCCAGCATCCTCCTCATGCCAGCCACCAAGAAAGGGACACTCAGGGAACAAAACAAGGGGAGGGCGAGCCCCTGGGGCCGTGGCTTTGTGTGCAGGTGCCCAGGGAGCAGCTTCTCCTGCCCAGAGCGGCGGTGGCCCCGTTCATGCCCTGCACGTCCAGTCAGGGAGTCTATTTTCTCCTCCTGCCAACAGGGAAGAGTCACGTAGAGCCTGGGATTTG